GTAATGAAAATAAATTAATGAAAATTGTTACGTTCAATTTCTTAGCCCACCATTCATTCGAAACATCAATAGTCCGTTTGATTAGATCCCAACACAAGCCAGTGGATCTCCATTTTAATTCCTTCCATAATTTCCAGTCATTTAATTGGTCCCACTTTTTCTTAAGTTTGCTCTCTTCCTGTCATTTCCTTAAACTTCTTCATAATATTTTGTCACCCTTCCTTTTTAAAATAGGTGGTGCGCCTATTTTACAGCTCAAACTCCTTAAGACAGAGGACGTTGAATATGAGTTTGGCTTTCCTATCCCATATGGCTATGTACCGACTTCTTGAGTCTTAACCATTGTGTTACTAGCACAAAAAAAACCAAATATTAATATTTGACAACAACCACAACATAATAATTAACCGCCACAGCACAACCACAACCACCACAGCTCAGCCAACCACCACAACACAACTACATGTAGACATCTCAAAGTTAGCAAAATATGCTCTGAATTCACAATAACAAAAACATTGCATCTTACTCTGAATCCACAACAACCCCAACAATGCACCACCAAAACCAACAGCAATCTACCACCCCAACAAACAACCACCACCGAATCCACAGTAAAGGGCATCACCCCGATAAAGAAAATGCAACATCAAAGCAAAAGCACAAAGAGAAAAACCAATCAAAAATCCATCGAAAACTAGTAAGAGAACAATCACTTGAAAACCATCAAGAGAACAACCAATCGCAAAGTAATAATGTCGGAGAAAAATTGGAAGAGAATGCCACAGGACTAAGGAAAGGATCTAAGCAAATACGAAGCACAGATCACAAGCTGGACAAGAGGAGACCGGGGAAGTTATCTCTAGGTGACGAGAGAAAGAAGCTCGGTCGCAAGAAAGGGGAGGGAGAAGCCGACGCGGTCGTGAGAGAAGAGAGAGAGAAGCTCGTTTGTGAGAGAGAGCTTAGGGAAGGGTAGTGAAAAGCACCCCGTATGTTTAATGCAAAACACGGGCCGCGGGTTCACGGGCCGCGGGGTTGAACCCGCGGCCCACGTTCATCATAAATTATCCAAAAAGCTGCCAAAATGCATTTTTCAAACACAAAAAAAATTAAAATCTGCAGCCTGAAGCCCCGTTGCGCGAGATAAGCGTCCCCAAATGGACACTAAGTTGGGTTGATGTGGGCGAACATAAAATGTTAGGTTATGAGTTAGTTGATGAAGCCACAGAGAAAATAAGGTTAATCAAAGACAAATTGAAAGTTGATTATGATCAACAACCCAAAACACAAAGCGGTAGAATTTGAAATTAGTGATTTTGTATTTTTAAAAGTCAGACTAATGAAATGTACAATCAAATTTTCTCAGGGAAGCATGTTGAGTCTAGATAGATCAGTCCATTTGAAATTATCAAAAGGATTGGTCTAAATGCTTACACCCTAGCTTTACCTACTGATATGTCAAACATTCATGATGTGTTTTACATCTCAATGTTGAGAATGAGTTTCAAATTAAGACCAAAAGATTTCATATGACAACATTGAAGTACAGAAAAAATTAACTTACATTGAAGAGTTTGAGAAAATCTTAGAAATTGATGTTAAAAAGTCGAGGAATAAATTTATTCATTTTGTCAAAGATAAAATAAAAATGCAAGCCTAAAAAAGAAGTTACATGGAAAAAACAAGAAATATAACAAAAATATCCCTTCCTATTCATCTAATTAAAAAATTTTGATAACAATTTTTACAAGGAGAGCAGTATTATAGAAACCAAATATTGGCAATTTTAAAGTATACCTCAAATTTTGCATCCCTTAGTATTCAATCAAATTAGTTTTAAAAATTCTTTGCATTGAATCAATCAATTTGATATAGAGCACAAAGTATGAATTTTTAACGTAAAAGAAAATACAAAATTATAAAGTTATAAATTTAATTACCCTTTATTAATATTAATTGTCCTCCCAGTTTTCCATTATTGTAGCTAGCCGATGTATTTTGCACTTAAAGGTGCGTGCAAGACTAGATATGATCAACGAAGGGGATTAATTGGGATCTCAGTAAAATGCCACATACCTTCATTTCTCCCCTCCCCCATGTCTCTATTTTGCGGGACTAAAGAGCTCCTGCAATTTGACACTATAGCAGGGTGGGGCGAGCGAATGGTCAGGGAGTCGCAACTCTCAGCTAAGAGCTCTGAGAGAAAGATAACGAGTATAAACTCCTCTTTCACAATATTTGAGACATTCCTTTCCTTTCTTACGTTTCCATTTTTACGTTGGCCACAAATTAGTGCACTTTTTTGTTTTCAGTCGCTGCAACGAGAGATAAAATTGCGTCGAAGACTAAAAACTTGGTTTGTGGGATTTTGAATGGGCAACTAATATGAAATCAATGAAGTAAAGTGAAGGAGAGAAGGTTTGGGGGGAGGAAAAGAAGTGTGGAGAATTTATGTAGGGAAACCCATTTGAAGTAAAAATTGAGATGTATCTTTATGTGCGAGTTAAAATAATACCTGAGATAAAAATTTACGAATATCCTAAGAGATTTATGAATTTCAGGTTGTTTACACTAGCCAGTGACTAGGGTGAGCTTGGGGAAACTCGTTGTAAGACTACTACGTCAACTCAGGTGAACTAATTAAGGAAAAATAAGCTTTATAGATTTTCATGTGAATTTGTTTGCCACTACTACATTTAAAAATTTTCTGTATGCTATGGATTAGTACCTGTATAGATTGTATGAATATAAACTTGATTTATTCCTTATGATACATTTGATTTTATTATACTATGAATTTGATGAACATGTTTATGAAAATTATTGGTTATAGGTATTTATTTACTGAGATTCATGCATATGATATATGAAATACCCATAATGAATGTGTTACAAGAATTATGATTTAAGAAATGTCATAAGTGAGGTTATAGATAGGCTATTACATGTATATTTGCAAGTACGGATGATAGGTAATGATGAGATTCTTGACTCTTTGTACTCAAGGGGAGAATAAGCTACATGAATCATTAGGATTAGATGAGAATGGAACATGTGGAACTATAGGTACCAGAAGAGACTAATGATAACCATTAATTGGGACTCAATAATTCTCAATATTTAATGTAGCATTCGGGCTGAGTGATGACCTATGAAATGACATAACATAAAAATAATTGATGTCTATATAAATAGAAATGATTGTCTTATGATTAGATTGATAACTCTTATCAATATGCTTAAAATTACACATGAATGCATGAAATACATATTTTATATAGCTGTCATGGTTCCCTGCATTATATTACTTTTCTTTTACATGTTTTAGATGATTATAACATGTTGTGATATACGTTATGGACATGTACTTGAGTTACATATGAGCATGTTATTTTTTTAGTCAATAAAATGTTATTTTAGCCTTGATTATTTTGCTAAACTTGTTGTACAGTTTACTCTATTTTTGGCTCCTTTTATTTAATACAACTCGTTGGTTATAAGAGAAGGGAAAGGGAGAGAGATATCACTTCATAAGGATTGAGAAAATGCTTAGAGATGAACCTAGTGGAGAGCGCCCCACAGACATACGCATTGTTGAACCCAATTTTGTCCTTCTGCACATGCCCAAGGAGTAGAGCACTATGGCCGAGGGAGAAAGAAGGGAAAGTAAATTGAAAGAGAGAGGATTGTCCCCTGGGAGGGGGTTGTGCAAAGAGGGGTGTTCTCGAACTCTTTGACCCATTTTATTCCACACAACTCGTTGGTTACAAGAGAAGGGAAGGGGAGGAGATATCCCTACATAAGGGTTAAGAAAATGTCTAAAGATAAACCTAGTGGACACCTCCCCCCCACCCCAACATGTAATAGGTTCTCATATTTATAGAAAAAAAAGAGGGGAAAGCAATACATGCTTATTTTTGCCTTCTTTATTTTGGGCCATTGGATTGCTTCGAGATGCATGTTAAATCTTTAGTACATTAGTCCTCTACTTTACCATACCTTGGTATTATTATCTACTTTACCATACCTTGGTATTATTATCTACTTTATTATTTATAATTTTTTTTGTAAAAGATAATATAATATATTATATTATACGTATATTGCCCAATGAAGGCCGGCTGGTAAAGTTGAGTGGCATGCAGGTATATACACTATAAAATGGTGACAACCCTCGTATGGACAGCCCACTATGAGGATGGTCTGTCGGCTTTGGAGTGGCCGACCGGTGGATGCCATCGAGGAGTTTACAGGCGAAAAAGCTTCTCGGAGAGGTTGAGACACTGGATTTTGATCCATTTGTAGAGGCTGGTTGGTGGAAATGGCCGGTCGTCGAAAGTCAGGCGACCTAAAGCGAAATGGCCAACCGAACGAGGCTATCTGACTAAGGGGATAGGCGGCTGAATGAGGCTTGAGGAGGTATAGCCAACCAACTGAAAGAATGGACGGACGAGAACTGCATTTCGAAGGAATGTCGGAAGTCGTGCAGCCTAACGCGAGGAGCTCGGCCGAAGGTCTGGCCGGTCGACTAAGGGTGGTCAGTCGAATGAGGCCAGAGAAGGTCTGGCTGGCTGATACTCAGGTGGTTGAGCGACTGTTGGGTGATTGAAGTGAGGAAATATCTTTGCATGCTTGACACTTGTTCCGGCTAGGCGAGGACAACGTAATTTTCTGGCTATACACACATATTGTAAAGATTCAATCTATAACATACTCCAATACCAACTGTAGGATCATCAGCTCTTAATCAATTCTCCTAAATCTAAATCTGGTCGGAATGGCCAAACAAAGGTCTCCATAATATCAAAAAAATGAACATGAATGTTTGCTTGGCCGAGGCACACCCTTGGCCTTTATGAGGCTAGAAACCAATAGCATAATAGGAACAACTCAGTCCCAATATATAGTATGTGTTGCATGAAAATAAGCTTGTATAAAACAAAAATTCTCATATTAAAATAAAGAATTACGCTAGTTGTGTCGAGGGCAGTATAACTTACCCAAGTCCTTCCTTGGACCACGCAGCTTCATATACTCCTTGGGCAGTTTTAAATCCAGCTTCTGTCATGCCTTCCTGAATCATAGTTGCAGCAACAGCATATGTAACACCAGACCATATCTCCCTTGACTGCAGTGCAGACATATCAAAAGTTCCGTCAGGTCTCATCCCATTTAGAGCACCACGTTTGCCATCCTTATATTTCAACACATTGAAATTGTAAACTTTTTCAAGTGCACTTCTAGCTTTTTTCTCATCAACTATTGGAGATAAACCACATGCTCTGGAATACCTGAAAAAGAGCAATTACTTGATTTTATACCGAGCAACCACTTCTCAGAACTGTTTTGAATGGAGGTAAACAAGAACTATTGCTATAGATTGCCTTATTCACGGGATATTGCCATCATAGATAGGATTAAAGAACTTAAACATTTGCAACAAATATAATATAAAATAGTAGGAAAATGCAGAAAAAAATATGGCAAATTAAATATCAAAATTGATGATAGTACTAATTGAATCTTATGATAATAGCTTTCTAATTCAACCAAAATGACATCTAAAATTATCAGTAAAGTATCTCAGAATTAGGATAAGCAAACAGCATGGTGCTCTAAATACCATTGCCCAGCCAGTTGATCTGCCTGAATTGATGAGCTTATCTTGCCACCACTACTGTCATAATTGAAGTAGGAACCATTCCAAAGCTTCTCGTAGACAGTTTTTGCCTTCTGAAACTTATTCCAGAATAGTTCTTCTGCAGCTTTATCACCAATTTCATGTGCCAAGGCTGAAGCCGCCTGCAGGGCAGCCACCCATAGTCCCCCGCAATATGCACTAACACCACTAACAGCCCAAACATCATAGGTCTGATCAGGAAAGCCCTCATTCTCAATCATTTCATCTCCATCCTTGTCAAATTGATCCATGTAGGCCATTGCAATATATACTGAAGGCCAAACAGCTCGAGCAAAGGACTTGTCGCCAGTGAAAACTGTGTCTCTATAAACTTGTAGGACAAATTTGGAATTCAAGTCCTTCCACCTATTTGTATCATGAAGCATGTATGCATTAACTTTGAACCAAGGGTCAGACATTCCAAGATCATGAGGAACTGCTCCAAGAACCTTCCTTGAAACCCACTTTCCATCATACATCATCCGAATTTTCTCAGGGTCATGCATTGTCACAGCAGCAGCAAAGTCTCTTTGAATATGCCGAGCTCAAGCTTTGGAAATAGCATGATAAGGGCAAAAGATGAGTAGAAATGCACATCATATGTGTTCCACATATAATATTCAATGCCTTCAAGGTAGAGTAACTGGCCAATATTTTCTTCTCCTTGGAGTAATGATGTTCCAAAAGCAGAATTTGAGGCTATAGGGGTATTTATTTTTTCAAGTGTAGATGACATCCTATCAAGGACATGGAGTGAAGTGTTATTTCGTGGTATTGGCTTGCTTAAGGCTTCACATACTGGATTCGACATATCAAGAGAGAACTTTCTTTCATCAATTGTTGCTAAACTCTGGATAGGTGGCAGCCCATCTGTAACAGGACATGTTCAATTCGCATCGTAGGCAACCCACAATCTTTGACCTTACAAAGGAGATTCTAAATACCTGTCCAAATAGCTCCTCCAGCATTAAGATAATACAGTTCATTGAAGAGGTTGATACGATACCTAATAAAGAAATTTGAGAAACTTCAAAGTATTCTGGGAAAAGAAACGGTTGTTTACAGAAGAAGGAAAATTACAATTTTTACCATTCAGGGAGTTCCTTGTTTTGCAGAATAGGTCTTTGCCATTCATCAATTTGGGATTCCCAAAGCTCGTGGTCTGGCAAGGGAGGACAAGGACTTAGCAGTTAATTAAAAAAAATGCTTATGAAACAAAATAATAATAATCAAGAAATTATGTTACTTGCAAAATTACAATAGCTATTTCCTCTAAAATTAAATAAGACGTTTATGCAGTCATTAATTATCGGAGCACTATCAAGGCTATCATTAATTATCAAGAGATTGCTATATAGAAGGGCAAGAACCATTGCTAAGCACGCATTATTAAAAGTTTCCAGAGAGAAAAAGACGGACATGACAATTGAGAAGCAACGGTTTTGACTGTAAAACTTTAGATGGACATACATAACTTCAGGGAAAGAAGAACACACTAGGAAAGAGGATCACACTAAAAATAAAAGAAGAAAAATAACATCAAGGAGAATAAAATTGACGCACACACAATTTCATGTTTTTTTCAAATTGTTAGTATATGCATCAATGATTTTTAAGTTGGATAATTGCAAGTTCAGGAAGACAACAAACATTATTCTATGAAAAAAAGTTCATAAATCCAACTATGAATGAGAAGAGTTTGATAGGAACTCGACGAGTTTTCCACGGAAATTAGGACCAATAAATATTTTTTTTCAAAAACATCATACAACATAGCACAAATACATAACATACAATTCGAGAAGGAGAGAACCACTCCCAAACCCTAACACATAACACCTACAATTCGAGAAGTAGGCGATCTCTCCTAAACCCTAATATCAAAACTCAGAACAACAATCTCAATAGCATAACAAAATCCTAATCAATTAAGTCCCTTATCTACCAAACACTAATAGATAATAAAAGACCAAATTGCCCTTACCTAACATTACTCCCCTCCCAAAGACATATTGTCCTCAAGTTAAAAAAAAAAGAAACTGTTGTTGGATCAGGTTATGTGGCTTCCACTCATAAACTGACTTGAGTATGTCTCTCGTCATCAGTATTTCATTGAAATAAGTGATGAGTCATTGACACTGCATGACCGCGCCAAACCATAGCCAGAAGTATATGTCTCTATAATGAAAGGTTGGTTGAAATCCAGTAATACTAACACAGGTACACTTGTCATGGCATTTTTTAACTTCTCAAAAGCCTAGTTCATAACTTTCCTCAACTGAAATTTATCCTTCTTCAATTTCTCCGTTAATAGCTACACAATCAAATTACAACTCTTCACGAACTTCCAATACTACCCTGTAAGTTCTAGAAATCTTCTCATCCCCTACCAGGTCTTAGGTAGTGGCAACTCCAATATAGTCGATGCCTTCAATAAACCTGCTGACACCAAGGTCTTACACAAACTCAGGTCACCGCGAAGCATCACCATCTTATCTCCCACATGAAACTCTATGGTCAAGTGTTTCTAATTCATCTTAGTCTGCTCAAAATATTGCAACTTTTCCAAACCCAATATTTTGCTAGTACTCCCTAAATCCAAGGAGAAAGGCCATCCAGTTGAAGCGTCCTTGATGGAGGAGAGTGGTCGTCCGAAGAAGCGATCAGTCGGTTCATCAGTTCTCGCCAAGACTCTTGAGCTATCATCCAAGGTAGTAGAACAAGAAGCTGTTGGTGATTTGGCGCCGCCAGGGGCATCAAAAGTAGTTGCTAGGAGAGGTTGTGGATGCCTTGGTACTGGCAGATGCGCAGGGTGTTATCAGCCTTTCTCCTCCAAAAGCAAGGCAGAAGACTGGCGAGGAAGGGTTCTCTTTCACCACTTCAGAGTGGGATCAAATCATGGGTATAGAGTGTGTTGGCTGGGTGAGTTTTCTTTTTCTAAATCTTGCTTCGTATTATTTTTTGATGCAGACGACCCAATCACTGGAGTGGTGTCTGTCAATTCACCTTTGGGGGAAGTTGGTGTTAATCTGGTCGCCAAGGCGAACCGAGGGTATGCCAAGGATGCTTCATGCTAAGCTGAGGCTACAAACAGTTGTCTGAGTCTCTCCCAAGCGGAGGTGGACGGAAAGTCAGAATCTTCCAGCAAAAAAAAGTCGTTGAACTTCCTCAGGCCTAAGAGATGCGCCCACTGGCAGAGCGAGTGGATAGACTGGAAAAATTGGAGGAGATGGCCTCCATCTGTCCTCGAGAAGTCGTCGCCCTCTACAAATAAGTTGCAGTTCTTTGGGCGGAGCTACTGACCGTCAAGGAGGCGTCTTCGGCTGCTCGAGCACAGGCTGAAATAGATGGAATAGATAAGTTTAGATTAGGGAGGTGAGCTTTTGTACAAGTGGCTGCTTCAATGCGAGCTTGTCTCAGCTGAAGCAATAGCCAACGACTTCGTAAAATATTTTCTTGAATAGTCGCCGAACGGTAGATGTAAATATTTTTATTTATGAAATAAAAATTTAAATTTTCTATCTCTAAATGTGTGTTAAATTTGACTCCCTTTCAGAGGTTTTGGGTGGCAAATAACGTTGTTGCCCCTGCAATGGTTTGACTTCCTTCCGTTATCTATAAATAGGGCTGAGAGTTCATGTAATCCTCGCATGACTATTCCGTCAAGGGGCTTTCCCAACAACCTCAGGCGGGCATCGCTTTGGCTGACGATTGCTTCGACAAGGAAGGCCTAGTTGACACCTAGAGGGCTGACATGAGGCTATTCACCACCCTTCTTTCCGACCCTGAGAAAGATGGTGATAAATTTTGGGGAGCGGCCTGAGAAGAAGGCAACAACATTGGTGGATCAAATGCTCCTTAGGCTTCTATTTCTCTTTTTCTTTTTTTCCCTATACTTTTAGGGAAAAAAATTATTTTGTTTGGTTGTAACCGACTGAACTGTACAGTTATGTAGTAAAATGTTGTAGAAAATTTATGATAATAGAAAATTTTTGCTATACCTGTTGCTTTACCTTTACCGCACTTTACTTAATCGCTCGATTATTGGCGATAGTGTGCATGGCAAAAACGATCGACTTTGAGATGTTTTGTCTGTTGACTTTAATTTGTATTAATCGTTCGACGCAATACTTATACCATCTGTTTCGTTTCTCGAATCGTCGCCTTGTCGAGCCGCATCAATCGTCAGGTCTTAAGCGAACCTTATTGTTGCATTTGTGGGGTAACCGTTGAGATTCGCTACTATGGTGATTTGTGTCGTCCCCTTCGCGGGGCTTGTTACTACTGGGTAGGAAAACACCTCCAGAGTTTATCCATGTCAAGTTTAGAGATATGGGTTTTTGATGCTTGACATTGTCGGTCTTATGCGACTTGTCGGTCGAATGTTAGTTTGCACTGCCAGCCAAGCTTCAACCTCATTCCAATCGAGTGTCTTGTGTCGTTGTTGGATTCTTTGTAATTTATATCGATCGAACAGATTGTATCGCTGTCAGTTTTTGCTATTGATGCCTAGATCACGTATTACACTATCTAGGTCTCGTTTTCTTGATATGATTTACTCCTTGGACGGATTACCCCTTATGTTAGGCTTATTAAGTGAATATTGTAGCAGCTTTTGCGAAGATAACAACCAGATTTACTACTGAGGTAATTAACGTAATACCCTTCAGGAAACTTATTTTATTCAATTCGAGTTTAGAGACCAAGGTTTACGATGCGGGAGCGTTGTGGGTCGTTTTTTATGCATTTTGTCGGCCGAAATTCTTCGTCATCACTGTCGGTCTTGCTACTCAAATTCAAGTTCCCAAAATATTGGTCATCTGTCATAGCACATGAGCTCTTTGAGTTCCCCAAGCCTCGATTTGATTTATGAACTTGTTAGAAAAGGTTAATGTAATTTTTATAGTAGAGAAAGTACAAAATATTTGAAAGGATAACGCCATTTCATTGTCAACCAGGATGTCGACTGAGATATTGGATCTGATTCCCTTGTTAGCATCACACGATGGGGGTTGCGCCTCAGCTCAAGTTCATTTGATCAGCTCTCAAGAAGTTAGGGCCGAAAGTATTTTGCACCGAGGGCCTATGCCTGGTTGGCGCTAGTCGACCGGTGTCAATCGAGAGTTGTCGAGGTGCCACTGGTTGGTTTTCCGCAAGGGGGATTTCTTGACCGTGAAGAGTCAGTTGTACATTTCTATCTGATTCTCGCCTTCGAGCCAAAGCTACAAGAAAGATGATAAAAACATGATTTTTCGGTTCCTAGACTTATTGTTTGTATATGATTTTTTGGTTCCTGGACCAACTGTGCGTACTCCTCGATTTACTTCGTGTTAGGAGTGTCTTTGTGGTGGGTTTTTCCTGTTTGGAGTTGTTCTTCTTCTTGTTAGAGATATGCTCCATACATATCACACCTTTCAGGATGTTGAATCCAAATTTGTCCAGTAAGCACACAGAAGAGATTAGAGTGTTTGAACCAAAGAAAAAGGAAAGAAAGAATGAGAAGAGAATAGATGAGCGCACAACGACTTGCCTCTCCGGAACAAAATAGGGTATACTTGGGTTCTTGTGGCCCTTTTTATATAGTTGAATGTTTTTGATACACAGAGATTGTGAGGAGCCTAAAGTCCCTTCCTGTAAGAAGATACATGAGAGAAAGGAGATAAGAAAAAGTCCTATTACATGGAAAGACCCCTCTATTTATAGAAGAGGGTGAGCAATAAAAAAAAATTACATTTATAATCTCGCTTTATGGAGATTATACAAGTTATTCTAGTAAATAAACCCATGTGGGACTAAGGTCTTGTCATTCTTTGGCTTGGATGATGAGCCGAGAGGTACCTTCTGGACGGGCACCATCAGTCGGTCAGGTATCGACGACTGGGAGGACTCTTGGAGATAGTGGGGGAGTGAGTCCGTCCAACTGATGTTGGTCGGCTGGATGAATTGAGTCGGTCGTTAGTTCTCGATTCATGCCGGGGGAATTCTTGTCGAATGAGAAGACTTGTACCCATGAGCAGAGAATATTTTTTGGGCTTGTATCGTTCAGTCGATCTGGATGAATAATGGACGGCTTTTCAGGCTCTGCTGGTCGCTTTCCAGTGGGTCTAACTTTGCCATGTCATTCTTTTCTTAGCCTGCCTGATTGCCTCGAGATTCGTGCAGACACATTTTTTGTATACACTTAGGTTATTTTATTATTCTTTAGTCCATGAGTTATCTGATGCAATATCATATGTTACTATAAAACTAGATATAGCCTATTACGAAACCATTTTATCCCTTAATAGCTCATCCTTTTGTCAATCATTGATAATAATTATTTGCCTTCCCCCAAGGTACTAACTCATTCATCTCGTCCCAATTTGATCCATTAAATATTTGAATACACATTAAACGTATGCACTACTCAAAATTATAATGAACTCACCAATAATTGGCTTAAATGTGATTGTTCTCTCTCAAACTCTTTTAATCTCAATAATTTTTATCTTTCAAGACTTTACCCATTACTAATAGAATCCTCATATTTTTGACATTCCCAAGAAAAAAAAGCTTAAACCTTACCTCAGCATTAAATACTTCCCCTTTCCATTATATGATTGCAAATATGGGACATCCATCTTTTCTCCATTGTCACCACTAGTTCTTTAGCCTTCACATTCAAAATATCCACATGTGACATAGAAAACCTAAATTTTAATTTAGTTAGCCCTCGCTTATTTTCCATCACAACTTCTATTAAGTTGTGGTGCATTAGTTATAGATGATGTACTAGCCAAACATAGCCAAACGGCCCCTTAACTACTAAAACCATGCAGAACTTACGAACAATTCATGTTTGGATAACATTTACAAGTCTCTATGCCCTATATCCTCGACTATTTCATGCTTATGGAATTTCATTCATTTTCAAAATAATAAATAACAAGCTTCAATAATCAAATTTAGAACACTAATACGAAACTAAAATCAGAAAATTTTAATTCTATATAAATTAACACAAGAAGCTTGCATTATGGATGTGAAGTTGCCAAATTACCCATAATCGCATCATGCACTAGACAAGCTGCTGCATCTCCATCAGTTCCATAAAATTTGGTGTAGCGTCTGTTTAAAAAGCATAATGTCATGCTAGCACAATGCTTAGTTCTAACTATAGTGTTGGCGTTGAGGAAAATTTACTTACCGATGATAAACTTTTCCACTTGGAAAATTTATTTCTGGGCATGCCCATGCCAAAGCAAACGTGACTGTGCGGACAGCTTGTGGAGGAACAGTCAACGAAGCTGCTACAGCTGCCCCAATGGATGATTCTGGTTCAGAATAAATTGGATTTTCCGTGGAACCAATGTGATCGAAGGTCCCATGCTGGGAAGAGAAATATATAACAAGTTATTTATAAGTAAATCATAAAAAACTAAAAACTCAAAGAATAAAACATGATAGTTGGCAATAAACTATATTTCGCTCAATGCACTGCAAAATTATGAGCCATTAAATTACTAAAATAAACTTAATAATGACAATTTTGGAAAAAGAATAATATAAAACAAGTTCTTGAAGATTGATTTCATTTTCGGTTTCAGTTCCATCATAAGGTTTTAGGTTTCTAAGGTTTCAATAATTTTATCAGTTTTGGCATTCAATTTGAGCTGTAGTTGACGCGGGCGCAGGCGAATAGGAAGCCACAGGAAAGTCAAACATGTTCTCTCATTTGGACTGAACCGGTCCAGACTCGGGAGGGCCGATCGGCCCTTTCACTGTGGATTAGTGCCTCCATTGCATAAGGGGATCCAATCCGAGTTAGCTTAGGCTTATACATGTGTTTCCTTTGTCTTAAGTTTTCAGTTTTTTGAGTTTTTGTCAAGATTGCCGCCGGCGTCTCCATGTTCCCTCCTAGTGCTATTATATCCAAAGACAAGAAGATTCTCTAGCTGTAACTCATCCAGAGGTGATGTGTATCCCTCGCTCCTTGCTTCCCACCACCACTTCCCCCGCTGCCTCCCTCGCTGTAGTCACTGCCATCTTTCGGAAACAGCCTCCCGGCTGTTACCCAGCAGCCAGCCAGCACTCCCAGCCATTCCATCTCGACACCAATCATCCAAACTTCCTCCAGTTCGCTGCCGACCAGTCTAGCTACCCCGTCTGCCTGCTGCCACCCCTTTTCCAGCCGTTCCCCTTGCTGCCAGCCTTCCAAAGCACCTCCAGTTCGCTGCCGACAAGTCCAGCCACCCCCTCAACCTACTCCCGCCCCTTTCCCAAACCCCTAAACCTGCTGCCGCCTGTCTCGTCACTTTCATATTTGCTGCCGCCCTTTTCGGCCTCCTGCCACCTGCTGCCGCCCTCCTTCCCGCCACCTCCAACCCTATTTAGCAACCATTTCTTAAGCCCCAGCATCTTCATCTTTGCGCCCCAGCCATAGCTGAGTTGGGTTGACTTTTTGTTATTTCCTAGTTTCAAGTGTCTTTAATTGTAATTTTATTTATTTTTGAATAATAATATTTGTTTTCCAAAGCATCCAAACTTCCTCCAGTTCGCTGCTGACCAGTCAAGCCACCTCTCCCTTTTCCAGCCATTCCCCTCACTGCCAGCCTTCCATAACACCTCCAGTTCGCTGACGACCAGTTCCGCCACCTCGCCTGCTTGCTGCCACCCCTTTGCCAGCCATTCCCCTCGCTCCAGCTCGCTGCCAACCAGTCCAGCCACCCCCTCAACCTGCTCCCGCCCCTTTCCCAAGCCCCTAAACCTGTTGCCGCCCCATCTCGTCACTTTCATATTTGCTGCCTCCCTTTTCAGCCTCCTGCCACCTGCTGCCGCCCTCCTTCCTGTACCCGTTTTAGCAACTACTTCTTAAGCCGCAGCATCTTCGTCTTCCGCACTCCACACACCTCCTCCCACCTATCCACCCCTAAATCCTAACAATGCCGTCAAGAAGACAATTGTAAGAACATGACCAGGACTTTACCATGGCCAACATCAACGAATACTCTACCAAGTGATGCTACAGCTCGAGGCCATTGAGGAACAGATCATAGAAGAGGTCGTCATTAACTGTAATAGTGAGATCCGTGGAGGAAAGCCAGAAGAAGATCTGAACCACTTTTGTAGGGATGACTACAATGAAAAGAAGAATCGACTCGGGCATTTCTGAATTCAATAGCATAGGAAGCCGAGAAAGGAAGTGCCTACTGGAGGGCACAGAGATCTGGGAGTTAAGGTAGACCAACCGGACTTCGACAGAAGGATGAATCCAGATGATTTTCTCAAATGAATGCAGACTGTTAAGCGGATTTTTGAATAGAAGGACGTGTCAGATGATAGAAGAGTGAAGCTGACTGCCATCAAACTAACGAAAAATACCTCTTTGTGATGGGAAGACCTAAAGAGGGAGAGACAAAGAGAAGGACGGGATAAAATCTCTTCTTGGAAGAAGATTAAAAAGGCAATGCAGCGACAATATCTCCCCTACACTCCCGTCAAAATATTTTCATAAAACTCCACCACCTGCAATAGGAGTTATCAATGGTGGAATATATGACAAGATTGATGCAGCTCAAATTGAAATGTGAAATGAAAGAGATAGACGAGCACTCCATAGCAAGGTATTTGGGAGCTCTGAGGCTCTTCGTCAATAATGTGGTTCAATGGCAAACCAATTAGACACTAAGGGATGTGGGATTTGGGAGCTCTGAGGCTCGTCATCAATAATGTGGTTCAAACTTTTAGACACTAAGGAATGTGCGGACTTTGGCGTTGAAAGTGAAAAGACAACAGAAACAACAGAGGTATTTGCTTTCGTTCAGACAACCCCCTACAACTATAGGTACCAACATCAGCACACCTAAAGTAGGAAAAATTGGGCAAGGAAATAACAAAACAGATCAAAGTGGGAAAAAAGCAGAGAACAACAACACACCCAGTACAATCCCAACCCATAAATGATTCAAATTCTATAGATATTAGCACACTGCCTCCTGTTACCCGACGAGCTGAGTGGAGTCATTCACTAAGCAAGGCGTCAAGGAAGAAGTGAGTGATGAAGTAGCTAAGGATCAGGGTGAGAAATACCATCTCCGAAGAGATGAAGGGTAAATGCTAGTTGTCCAAAGAATTCTATGAACGGAACCATAGAGGGATCACTCGTGGTTGAGGCAAGGTATCTTCACACCAGGTGTACAGTGAGAGGGAAATTTTGCAACTTCAATATTGACGGAAGAAGCCGTAAGAATGTGGTCTCTGCTTTCATCGTGAAGAAGTTAGATCTGGCTACACAGAAACACTCCCAATCATATAATCTGACATGGTTGAAAAACAAAACGAGATACGAGTGAATCAACAGTTCGAGTTTGCCATTAAGGATCAACTACAAAACCAAGTGTAGAGTGATGTTTTGCCCATGGATGCCTGTAAAATTGAGTTGGAGAGGCCATGACAATTTGATCGCAAGACATAACACGATGGATTTAAGAGTACTTACGTGCTAATGGAGGGGAGACGTATTGTTCTCTTACCCATTAAGGATTCTAGAGGAGTAATTACACCTATTGGGGATAAGCCTGAGGTCTCATGAGCCACTTTCTGCAGTCAGTTTGAAAAGTCCAAATGGCACCGACTTTAGGTCGTCTTAGAGGAGGCTGAGGAGGAGACAAATCCACCAGACATGATCCAATGGCTGTTACTCGAGTTTCAGGAGGTGATGACCGACAACCTATCAGAGGATCTATTCTGCTATTCTGCTTAGGGATATCCAACATGTTATAAATCTTATTCTAGGATTAGTGTTGTCAAACAGGCCTACATACAGATTGAGGTCAGCGGAGTATGAAGAGTTATAGAGGCAACAACGGGATCTCATTACTAGGGGATTGGAGAGCGAGTACTGGCCAGTGCGATGTTCCCGTGTTGATTGTGCCCAAGAAGTATGGTTCATGAAGGATGTGCATCGATAGTTGAGCTATCAACAATACCACCATCAAATATTGGTTCCTTATCCCGTACTTGAGGGCGAACAATCGTCCTGGGTTGAGTTTGTGGTGTCATTCCAGTGCTTAAGCATAAAAGTCAGAATCAAGTAGCGGACGTTTTTAGCTGTTGTCATTCACTAATTACCTCCCTACAATCAAAAGTTGTGGGATTTAAGATAGTGAAGGAGTAATATGGTGCAGATGAGGATTTCAAAGAAATTTGGAAACAATGTCAGGACAAACCCACAGAACCATACCATAGAGATGACAGTTATTTGTTCCACAAAAAAAAGTTGTGTGTGCCCAGAAGTTATGATACCAGAGTTAGCCCAAACTACAATAGGAAAAACAAATATTATTACCGAAAAAAATAATTTATTACAATCAACACACTTGAATGAGAAAACACAACAACACGATACTTGAATATTTGAAATAGAAACATACACAACACAAGTAACCAAACTAGGGTGGGATCTAAGGATGGTAGTGGTGATCGTCAGGGGTTTAGAAGGTGGCGATAAGGTGAGAGCGCAGAGCAATTGAGAAGATATGACAGCGAAACAACAGGTCATTGCTGCCTTGGGTGACAATAAGGTGGAATTTGGGTTCACGGAGGCTAGAACGACGGATATGAGGCAGGAGACGATGCAGGAGGGCTAGGACAACGATTAAGTGGCAGAGATGTGGCCAAGATGACTGAGACAACAACTGGTAGGAAGGAAATGGGAGAGGATTTATAGTGGTTGGAACAGTGATGACAACAAACGAAAGAGCTAGAATCGCAGAAAATGTAGGCTGGAATGAAAAAATTGCAAAAGAGTAGGGTCGACAACTACTCTAGGCAGTTATAGCAAGAAAAGGTGTCACAGAGCTGTGTGCGGAGAATTTCGAAGGGAGTAAGAAAGATAAACACCATCTCAAGTGAGGGATACAGCCGGAGCACCATACAAACAATTGAATACATCCCTCAAAAAGAATGGTTGTCCTAAACAAAACAAATGAAAAAATAATCCTAAAACATTAGGAATACAAATATATAGTGATAAGATGATAAGGAGTGGCCCAAGTGGAACGGCAGACTCCTCAATTATGACAAAATTCGGACCAGTTCTATCCAGGCATGAAAACGACGCCCATCTAGTCGCGAAAGGCTTTTCGCATCCGGCTTTTGTATGCAGGATCATGGACGTGTTCCTACATGTGGCGCACCTGCGTTTCTACATGTGATGCTCCCGTGTTCCTACACACGACACTCCCATGTCAAGTATGTTAAGCGAAGCCATTGTCCCGAAGAGTCACAACAGGGGGACTAGCAGGTCATTTTGGCGGAGACAAGACCCTCGCACTAGTGAAGGAACACTTTTTCTGACCCAACTGACAAGGAATGTGGAGCAATACTTT